AACCAGAGGATGGAAGACCTCTCTGTGTAACTCTTTGAAATAAATAAATAAATTTTTTAAAAAATTAATGATCCTCACCTATCTGGCAAACCTTCTTAAAATCTCTAGTCAGTTATCTTCCCCAGTCCCTATGACAACTGACAGTTGATCATTCTCTCCCTCTCACATTCCCTCCCTTGCCTTTTTTTTTCTTTTTTTGGTTTTGGACAGGCAGAGCTAGTGAGAGAGAGAGAGAGAGAGAAAGGTCTTCCTTTTCCATAGGTTCACCCCCCAAATGGCCGCCACGGCCGGCGCACTGCACAGATCCGAAGCCAGGAACCAGGTGCTTCCTCCTGATCTCCCGTGTGGGTGCAGGACCCAAGCACTTGGGCCATCCTCCACTGCCTTCCCAGGAGCCAGGTGCTTCCTCCTGGTCTCCCATTCGGGTGCAGGGCCCAAGTACTAGGGCCATCCTCCACTGCCTTCCTGAGCCACAGCAGAGAGCTGGACTGGAAGAGGAGCAACCGGGACTAGAACCTGGGGTGCCGGCGCCGCAGGCGGAGGATTAGCCTAGTGAGCCGTGGCGCAGGCCCCCTCCCTTGTCTTCTAGAGCTCCCCTATAAGCTGTTCAACTCCAGTCTTTTTTATTGGATCATTTTCCTTATATGGTGGTTTCAAAGAGTTTTCCTTCTGTTTTTCTTCTTTCTTATTCCACAAACTCTCTCTTCGGTATTATATACAGTCCCACAGTGTTTAACTATCCATATGCCAGAAATATCCTAATCTCTATCTTCTGCCCAGAATCTTCCCATCTTCAGATGAAGTAATCAGCTAACTGCCCACTGAACAGCACCAACTGTGAGACAGAAAGGCATGTCCACAACTGGCCTCATCCTCCCTCCACATCTGATACGCCTCATGACATTTCTGTATTGAGGAGTCATAAATCTAGGAGACACCCCTGACCTCCATGCTTAGCTCCCACATCTAACAGGATACTACCAACTCAATCATCCTCATATATCACAAACCCTGTGGTATTCGCTAAAGTCCCATCGCATTTCAAGAGTCTTATCATATTTTGCCTTCACACATGAACAGCTCCCTGGTGAGCATTTCTGCTTTAGTCCAATAGACATTGGACTCAGGAAACTCATCTTAACTTTCCTCCCTAAAGCCTTCCCTGAATCTCCACAAACCTCTTCTTACTCTCACTGAACTCTGTGTGTACATTTTGTTATATCATCCCACCGTATTTTGCCTTGCTTATGATGTCTGTACAATACCATAACTTTCTTGAAGAAAAGTTAGTGACCTGGAACAAGAGAAATTGCTGTCTTTGTTGAATGAAAGAATAAAGAATGAACCCTGTAACTCTAAAATCTTTGAGTCTTTGGGTCAGCATTGTAATGCAGAGGGTAAAGCTGTTGTCTGTGAAGCCAGCATCCTGTATGAAAGCAAACTCATGTCCCAGCTGCTCCACTTCTGATGGCCTAGGAAAAGTAGCAGAAGATGGTCCAAGTGTTTGGACCCCTGCTGCCCATGTGGGAAACCAGGAAGAAGCTCCTGGCTCCTGGCTTCAGCCCAGCTCTGCATTGGATATTGCAGTCATCTGGGGAGTGAACCAGCAGATAGAAGATGTTTGTCTGTCTGTCTCTCCCTCTCTCTTTCAGAATAAGTAAGTCTTTAAAAAAAAAAAAATACATAAATAAAATTTGAGTCCACTAAAATCCCATTTACTTAAATATTTCCATGGGGCTGGTGCTGTGGCATAGCGGGTAGAGCTGCCACCTGCAATGCTGGTATCCCATACGGGCACCGGTTCGAGTCCCAGCTGCTCCACTTCCAATCCAGCTCTCTGCTATGGCCAGGGAAAGCAGTGGAAGATGGCCCAAGTGCTTGAGTCCCCACACCCGCATGGGAGACCAGGAAGAAGCTCCTAGCTCCTGGCTTAGCATCAGTGCAGCTCTGGCCGTTGAGGCCATTTGGGGAGTGAATCAGTGGATGTAAGACCTTTCTCTCTGTCTCTCCCTCTCTGTCTATAACTCTAGCTCTCAAACAAATAAAATCTTTAAAAAGTTTTGAAATATATTCAGAATTCAGATGGTCACTGACTTACAATGGGTGAACTTAAAATTTCTCAAGTTTACAATGCTCAAAAGACATGCACGTTCAGAAGAAACTGCATTTCAAATTTTGAATTTTGATCTTTTCCTGAGCTAGCAAAACATGGTATGATACTCTCAAAAAGGCTAGGCTCACTGGGCAGCAGCAGCAACAGCCAGCTACTCAAGGATAAGCAAGCAGACCTCTACAGCACAGGGTGTTGCCAATACATTTTTAACTATGATACTTTCCATTTACAATGGATTTATCAGGATAGTAACCTCACTATTAAGTCGAGTAGTGTCTGTATGAAAACCTAATGAAAAGTTAAAAAAAAAAAAACTGTGCAAAAAGTAAATCGGGCTAATTGAATGAAAAAAATAAGATTTTTAAACCTTAAATACAATTTTACTGCTTCCAATGTGAATTGAAGTAGGCTAAAAACCTATGAAACCAGAAGTGTAATTTATAAAAGTGCTTCAGTCTAATATGGTATCTTCCACACTGCTCAAAAAGTTTGTTGTTTCAAAGCACTAAACTGACAAACATCCCTGTCTTATTAGCTTAGAAAATCTTATTGCCTATAATAGAAATAGTATACTTACCTCCATCCAATTTATTACTGTTATTATAATTTACATCATACTTACATCTGCTGTTGTTTTTTTTTTTATTATTTGACAGATAGAGTTATAGATAGTGAGAGAGAGAAAGACAGAGAGAAAGGTCCTCCTTCCGCTAGTTCACTCCCCAAATGGCCTCAATAGCCAGCACTGCGCTGATCCGAAGCCAGGAGCCAGGTTCTTCTTCCTGGTCCCCTATGTGGGTGCAGGGGCCCAAAGACTTGGGCCATCCTCTACTGCCTTCCCCGGGCCACAGCAGAGAGCTGGACTGGAAGAGGAGCAGCTGGGACTAGAACCCAGCACCCATATGAGATGCCGGCACCGTAGGCAGAGGATTAACCAAGTGAGCTTGATTTTTAAAATGCACTATCTTTACAGATCCAGCATTTCCCAAACCCCTGATAGTGACAATTTAATGAAACTGATAGTTTTTGGACACTATCCAAAATACATCAGGAGGCTATGAATATTATGTCTCAGAAGAACTATTTCAAAAATCATTTTAGACCTGGAGAACAGCCAACCGATCTATCTGTAAGTACCATTAATCTATCGACAAATGAAGAACTGTCATTACATCTCTGAGGGCATTTTTATCCCAAATTTACTATTGATTTACCTGTTTTTGCTATTTGTTTTATTTTCATTTATTTACCTTTTGATTATCAAGCCTCAACTGAAGCAATAATCAATTAAAATTCAGTATATGTTATGTTGATAAAAATTAAAATTAAAATACACATGACATTGATAGCTATTAATCAAGCAATACTAACTACTTATCATTAACTAAGTAAACAAATAATCAAGGCAAAGGTTTTAGCTACCACTAATCTACCAAAGCAAGTCAAAATGTTAGAAAAATTGCATTCGTATCGAATTGCTTCTATATGTGACACTTAAAAGCTCATAATTACATTTCAAAATTTAGATGAGTCACAGTGTTTTCTATGTAGGAACAGGATGTGAATCAAAATTGTAAACATGCACTTCCTTGTTAGTCAAAAGGTGAAAATGGACAGACCCAATGTCCACTGAAACAGTAAAACATATAATCATAAAACACATCCTTTTTTTAAAATGGTCAACCCTCAACTGCCAGCACAGCTCGGTAAAGATGCCACCTGCCCAACCTCCACTTGAATATCTCAAAATAACGGAATACTTCTAGTTTCATCCCCCCATCTTAGAGAATCGGCAACTGAGACCCGAGGTCTTTATACAGGCAGCAGGATTGCCCTCATCAGGGCTACCACCGTTTAAGGCTTACAATTGGTAAAAGCAAGGAAACGGAATTCCAAAGGGCACATAAGATTTTACCTAAATCTAGAGCCTGAAACTGAAATATGGACAAAATTTTCATCTTGAGTCTTGTCAGTGAAGACAGTAAAACTGGCAGATAAGCAGGAAGAAAAAGCAGGGAATGATGGTTGTAGTATCTGGCAAAAGACTCTGACCATAAAGAAATCCATCCCCAAAAAGTTTGTAATCAATAATTGAATGCAGAGTAACTGACAGCGTGACTCCATTGATCCCAAAAGCTCCGAAATCAGGAACTCAACCACTGTATCAGGACGCCACAGATAAAACTGAAACTCAGGGGGAGTAGATGCAACACAGCTGCGAGTCTCGGCAAATCTCCTGTATAGCTGCTGCGGACATTTCAAAACATACTCGATCTACTCTTTCCTCAGGTGATTCCTGGAAGTCAGGACAGAGCCAAAGAACCGAGAGGGCAGAAACCGGCCCTGATCACCCATAAGGCTTTGCATCAAAGTGGACATGATCTGAGTGAGTCACGGGGAATGAGGAGACAGTCACCAAAGGCCAGGCAGGCCATGGTCTGACTCCCCTGCGCCGCCCCGGACTAGGGAGCCGATCAAGGGAGCGGGGCATGACTGCAACCTGCTGCAGGTAAGTGCAGAAGGATCGCGTCGACAGGTTTCCAAGACAGAGTCCTGCGGAGTCCCTCTACAGGCGCCACGGCCAGCCCTGCCCAGGCATCCCGGAGCTCTCCGTCCACTGAAGGCCCAGTCCTCAAGGGGTGCAGAGCCGGGAGAGGACAGGACGAGGACAAGCGGCAGGTCCTACCCTCTTCCCAGACGCCCCACGCCGCAACGCGGCCCTGCCGCCACATGCTCCACTAGCCCACTCCTAGTACAGACCCAGGCCCACTGGTCCCCAGCCGCCCTTCGCACAAGCAGACGTGGGCCGCAGTCGGACGTGACCCAGCGGCTCCTGAGCTGAGGGCAGCAACCCGCAGCCGGCCACCCGCCACCCCGCAAGGCTTACCTCCCTTCTGCCCCAAGCTCAGCCCCGCGCCGGCAGCCTGACGTGGTCCCCCGCCACGAACGCCCGGGGGCGGGGACTCCAAGAAGAGCCAATTGGATGTGGATCCCGGGGTCCCGCCCCGCCTCCTCCGGCTTTGGCACGCCCGCCTCCCCGCGCACGCGCACTCAGGCCCTAGGCCGAGCACTGCGGCTGGAAGACGGCTTAGGCGAAGCGTGGCAGGGCGATTACCTGAGGGCCGGGTGGGCTGCACACGCTGCTGCTGGCGGCAGAGCAGCACCGCAGTGAGGAGATAACGCAAGAGAAAGCAGCTTAAAGGAAGCTGCCCAGAGATGCGGCTGCAGCGTACGCGGGTAGTCCTGCTGGCAGTCTGCCCTTATTTGCAGCTTTGAGCTAGTGCAAAGCAACTCCCTGGCGCTTGGAAATTTTTGTTTGTTGCCTGAAGCGAGGGGAAGGGAGAATAGTACCTTAGAATAAGTATTCATAAAATTTAAAGTTAACGGCCGACTGGGCGCGCAGACTTCGTTTTTCCTACACTCAGCTACTGCTGGGTGTCTTTGCTTCATTTGGTCAACACAAAACTGCAGCTCTTGATGCCGCGCTGTCTATTTCCACTGGTTGGGTAGTGGTAAGGGAGTTCTAGCCCGGGCATTTCTACGGACAATCTGGAGCGAACTAGTGCAAGTAATTGTCATTATGTAGTTCTTATTTTTGTATGATAAGTCCTATCCGGGGCATAAATACACATTTTCTCCTGGGGGACTAGGTGGGTGCTCTCATATAGGAAAGGCATGACAGACACCTGACACAAGGGAATTGGAGCAAAGAGATAGCAGAAAAAAATGAGAGGCGATTATGAAAAAGTGGAATTCTAGTTGCATATGATGGAAGTGAAAATTAACTACAAGATCAAAGCACCTTTGGATGCTTTTAGAAGAAAATACTAGTGCCTGGACCCCATGTCTAGACATTCTTGTTTATAGCTCTGCTGTGGGACCTTGACATTTGTATTTTTTAAGTTTCCAAGGTCATTTTAATGTGCTAATAAGTTGTTCTCATTTGTAGGGATTTGATTGCCTATACTTCACCTTAGAAAAGTAATTACACATCACAGCCTACCTTCAGTTCTCCAGATAACCTAAGATGCATTCATTCTGTAAGTATCTAAATGAACTTTGAACTTGCCTAAATGTTCAATCTCTTTGAAAGAAAGGAATTTTATAAAGTTTATAATTGCCTTTTTGATTTTATGGAATTTCGTTATATTCGCCTTCAGACTTCCGAATGCACCAGTATTTCTTCTTGGACAATTTTAATGTTTTTCCTTCATCTAAATTCCCCAGATTTCTCTTTTTAAAAAATATTTTTTTATTTATTTGAAAGGCAGAGTTACAGAGACTGGTTCACTCCCCAAATGGCCACAATGGCTAGGGCTGGGTCAGGCCAAAACCAGGAGCCTGGAACTCCATTTGGGTGTCAGGAGCCCAAGAACTTGTGTCAACCTTTGCTGCCTTCCAAGATTCTTTAGCAGGAAGCTGGAGCAGAAGCAGAATATCCAGGACTCAAACCAGTACTCATGGGATGACATAGTCACAGGTGGTAGCCTAGCACACTGCACCCCAACACCAGCTCCTATTCACATATTTCTTGAAGCACATTATTCAAAATTATAATTGAATATAGAGCTCTATGATCAACTAACTGTATTATTAATTAACTATATATATATATAATTAACTAATTCTCACTGTATTAACTTGTTTAATCCACAGAACAACCTTCTGAAACAGGAACAGTTATTACTATTACATCTTATAAGTAAAGAACCTGAGGCACGATGATGAAGTATCTTGACTAAGATCATGCTGCTAATTAAAGCCAAAATTTGACTTCAGGTATCGGTGGTTCCACATAAATACACTGTATCTGTTACAGAAAGGCTGTTTGAGGAGAAATGAGGGAAATCTCCATGTAAAAGAATGGTGATGTGTCTACTTTTGTCACTGTCTTAATCCATTCAGGCCGCTGTAACAAAATAACTTACACTGAGTAATTTATAGACAACAGAAACTCGTTGCTCTTAGTTCTGAAGACTGGGGAGTCCAGACAAGATTTGGTGTCTGGTGAGGATCTGTTCCTCAGACAGTACCTTCCTTGTGTACTCACAGGGCAGAAGGCGCAAACAGATTCCTTTGGGCCTTTTTTTTTTAATTGACAGGTAGAGTTAGTGAGAGAGACAGAGAGAAAGGTGTTCCTTCCGCTGGTTCACCCCTGAAATGGCCGCCACGGCTGGCACTGCACAGATCCGAAGCCAGGAGCCAGGAGCTTCTTCCTGGTCTCCCACGTGAGTGCAGGGGCCCAAGCACCTGGGCCATCCCTCACTGCCCTCCTGGGCCACAGCAGCGAGCTGGACTGGAAGAGGACTAGAACCTGGCGCTCATATGGGATGCCATCACCGCAGGCGGAGGATTAACCAAGTGAGCCACGGCGCAGGCCCTGGGCCTTTTTTTATGAGCACTAATGAGGGCAGAATCCTAAAATCTCCCAAGGGCCCCACCTCTTAATACCATTGTGTTAGAGATTAGATTTCAATATATGACATTTAGGAGGACACAGAGAAAGATTCTAAAAGGATAAAAGTTCATCTTCAAGATCACATGGCTGATAGGTGTCAGAAGGATTAAAACACTAGTTTCCTACAGGTAACCTAACTAAACACCATTATATTTGATACTAAGTAATACATCTTTCAATAAAGTTACTGAAATGCAACAAAAAACACAAAAAACTGGTTTCCTGACTCCCAGATCAGTCCTGTCTCTACTGTATACCCAGTGAAAAAAACCACTTCATGTCCAGGACAGTGGCAAATTCTTTTTTTTAATAATAATAATGTTTTAAAAGGTCTATTTATTTATTTATTTGAAAAGCAGAGTTACAGAGAGAGAGAGAGAGACAGAGAAAGAGACCTCCCATCTGCTGGTTCACTCCCTAAATGGCTGCAGTGGCCAGGGCTGGGCCTGACTCTGGAGCTTCAGTAGTTTCACAGACTCAATCGTTTCCACGTGGTTTCAGGGACCCAATCACTTAAACCATATTTCTCTGCTTTCCCAGATGCATTAGCCAGGAGCTGGATTGGAAGCGGAGCAGCCAGGACTTGAACAGGTGCCCATGTGAAATGCTGGTATTATGGTGGATGGCTTTACCTACTACACCCAACACCAGCCCCAATATAATAAAGTTTAAAAGAAGTTAAGGTGAAAGATAGACATCAAACATTACAATTCGCCACCTGTGTTGCTAACCTGGCGAAAAATGGTCCTGCATGCTTAAGTAATCATGACAGCTAAATCACTCTTTCTTTCTGAGCTGAAAGCCAAGAAGGGCCCCTGAGGGGGCTGGCGCCGTGGCTCACTAGGCTAATCCTCCGCCTGTGGCACTGGCACCCAGGGTTCTAGTCCAGGTTGGGGCACCGGATTCTGTCCCGGTTTCTCTTCTTCCAATCCAGCTCTCTGCTGTGGCCCGGGTAGGCAGTGGAGGATGAACCAGGTCCTTGGGCCCTGCACCCATATGGGAGACCAGGAGAAGCACCTGGCTCCTGGCTTCGGATCGGCGCAGTGCACTGGCCATAGCGGCCACTTGGGGGGTGTACCTTTCTCTGAAGGGAAGAGAGAACTTCCACTTTGACTATAGCATTGTCTAAATAAGATCAGAGTTTGTGAACTCAAAAGGCTTCCATAGCCTTGGCAGCTCATGACAAGAGCCTCGGGTGATTACTGACGTCATAAATAAGAGTGTCAATTGTTAAATCAATAAGGGGAGTCACTGTGCACCTACTCCCCATGCAGGATCTCTGTCCTTATTGTGTTGTACTATGCGAATTAACGGTAAAGCTACTACTCAAACAGTACTTTATACTTTATATCTGTGTGGGTAGAAACTGTTGAATCTTTACTTTTACATACTAGGTTGATCTCCTATATATAAAGATAATTGAAAATGAATCTTGATGAAGAATGGGATGGGAGTGGGAGATGGGATGGTTGCGAGTGGGAGGGAGGTTATGGGGGGGAAAAGCTACTATCCAAAAAGTTGTAATTTGGAAATTTATATTTTTTAAATAAAAGTTGAAAAAAAAAGTAAAAAAAAAAAAAAGGTGATCTAGACTTAATATCTGAAGACTCAACTCAAATGGGAATTTCAGTTGAAGGATTAAAGCATACTTTGAATCTGTATATTATTTCCTGGAAACTTGCAGATTTTTTTTCATGCAAATAAACTCTTTGTTTTTTAAATATTCAAGACAAATCACCCACCCTCTTTAAGGAGAAGGCAGACAGATGGTATTTCTCTGTTAAATCCTTGTATTTTTTTCCACTGGAATAGTTAAGCAGTTCTCCATTGTACAAGACCCTTTAGGTAAGTACACTTTTTGAAGTCAGTATAGAAAGGCCTATTGACTTTAACAACAACAAAAAGAAAGCGAGTAAGAAAAATGTGTTCACTCCCAAATCATTAACAGAACTGAAAAGAATATGCTAACAACAAAAGACACTGTAGTGTGAATCCTGTACTGTGAGGGAAGGTCATGTCACCCACAGCATCAGGAGCAACACAAAGCCTTGAACTCAGGCCCAAGCATGCTGGGCTGGCTGAACATGCCCACGCATTCATCAGCAGGCACATAACTAGGAGCAGAAATTCAGTACTGAATCACAGAGCTCCACTGTAGACACATAACAGAAAGTAGTATTATGAGAGCTAATTAGATGTGAGTGTGGTGCTCCAGTGGCTCCCCACTTCATTTAAAGTAAAAGTCAAAGCCTTCACAAAGACCGAAAAGGCCACACATGCTCCATCTCCCCCCACATCATGCACCTCCAGTCCCAGCACACACACACACACACACACACACACACACACACATGCACACACAGTGTGTGACCTTACCTTCTTAGACACTCTTCCCCAGGGTTACTCTACTGCAGTCACACTGCCTCTTCACAGCTACCTGATCTTGGCGCTTCCCACAGGATATCTTCATCATTGCAGAAGGTCATTAAGCCTTTGCTACCTTATATATAAGGCCTACTCTACTGCTCAATGTCTCAGCAGGAAACAGATGGTACAATTAAATTAAGAAGGTTAGATGAGAGTTTAATAAATAGATGTAGGCAGGGGTTAAAAAGATCACAAGGCAGGGAGCAGTGTTGTGGCACTGCAGGTTAAGCTGCCTCTTACAACATTGGCATCCCTTAGCAGGGTACGGGTTCAAGTCCTGCTGCTTTGCTCACCATCTGGCTTCCTGCTGGTGTACTTCAGAAGGCAGATGATGGCCCAAGTGCCTTGGCCCTGGCACACATGTGAGAGACCTAGATGGGTTCCTAGCTCCTGGATTCAGCCTGGCCTAGACCTGTCTATAGCAGGCATTTGGGGGGTGAATCAGCAAATAGAAGATCTCTCTGTCCCCTTCCTTCTCTCCCCCTCTCCCTCCTCCTCTCCCTCTCCCTCTCTCCCTCTCCCTCTCACCCTCTCTCCCTCTCTCCCTCTCCTTCTCCTCCTCCTCCTCCCCCTCACCCCTCCTCCTCCACTTCTCCCTCTCCATCTATCCCTCTTTCTCCCCCTCCTCTTCGACTCTCCCTCTCTCCCACTCCCTCTCTGCTTAGATATCTGACACACCCGCGGCGCATACTCTCGGCTCGGGCTTTAGCTATCTCAGTCTTTGGGTCAGTTTCTCGAGCCAAGATCTTTTGTCATAGTGAAGACTCAAGAAAACCGACTGGATCGGACTGTCCGGAACCATAGGATTGAGCGAAACCCGATAAAACACGGAAATATCGATAATGGAGCATCCTTTGGC